TTCAAATCCAGCCTCATACACTTACCATTTACCAGCTGTGTGACCCTGGGCAAGTCACTCAACCCTGATTGCCTCACCAAAAAGCAAAACAAACAAAAAAAAGAAAGAAATGTTTAAGACTCTTAGGTAAATATTTAAATCCTGTGGGACAGCTTTTGCTCAGGTGAGGTTAATATTAAAATAGACTTCTAATGAATCAAAAATTGCAAGAGGAATGGCCCTGAGTCACAACTAATAAAGGGAAATCAAATTTCCCTTAAGATATTTAAGCAAATATTTATTGATTGCCTGTTATGTGAAAGACATTGTGATGGACATTGAGCAGGATACCAAACAGGGACCACCTGGCGCAGAATGCAGAAGCTCAAATGAAAACTAGAGCAAACATCAAAGCAAAGCTCAGGCCAGTGCTGGGCTGCCCCTTGTTCTCTTCTGAGTACATGGTTCAGGATCCTGACATTTATCTCTAGAGCAGTCTCACAGTTATAGACGACTTACTTGACGTAATTTGGAGTGAACCAAAAGTCGGCTCTAGGATGTCAAGGCACAGAAACAAAACCTCAGTTCAAACTCAGTTGATATTTTGGAAACATAGAAACCACTAAGAGGCAATGGACAGAGAACTGGCTTTGTAACCAGGAAGAGTTGAGTTCAAGTCTTGCCTCTGACTTGTTGTGGGACCCAGGATAAGTCTGTTAATCTCTCAGTGTTCTATATGTGAGCTTATCACCTTCAGAGAAGTCACCAACCTCCACTGGAATTTCCTATATTAATCAATCAATCAACAAATATTTATCAAGCACCTACTATGTGCCAAGGCACTGGGGATCCAAAAAGCGGCAAAAGACTATCCCTGCCCTAAAGGAGTTTACAATGTCCAATCCCTATTATTGTAGTTGGTCAATTAGTGTGTACACACACACACATACACATACATGCTTACTGGCTGAGTGACCAACATATGTGTGTATGTGTACATATATATATATACATATATATATATATACACACACATGCATATATGTATATGTGTATATATATGTGTGTACATATATTCACACACATATACATAGTGTGTGAGTGTGAGTGTTTGTGTGTGTAGGAAGAGGATTTATATGTCACTAAGGAGTTGAGGCAGTTAGGTGGTGCAGTTGATAGAGCATTGGGTTTGGAATTAGGGTGACCTAAGTTCAAATCTATCCTCAGACACTTACTAGCTATGTGACCCTAGCTATGTGTGTGTCTTAAGCTAAGTGTTCTGGATAAAAAGAATGGCAGAAGCATGGTCCTTGTATTCAAAGAGATAATATTCTAATGGGGGAGTATAAATGGAAATTCATCTCAGTGGGAAGGCTGGAGGTGAGCCATTGCCAGGGGATGGGGATGGGGTAAAGAGACTAGGAAAGGCCTCTTGAAAAATGCAGGCTATGAGTTGAGTCTAGTAAAAAAGCCAGGGAGGGGCAGCTAGGTGGCACAGTAGATAGAGCCCTGCCCTGGAGTCAGGAGGACCTGATTTCAAATCCAGCCTCAGACACTTGACACTTAACTAGCTGTGTGACCCTGGGCAAGTCACTTAACCCCACTGCGTAGTAAAAGAAAAAGAAAAAAAGCCAGGGAAGATCAGAGGTAGAAATAAGGAAGAAAAGAATTCCATGGATGGGAAACAGCCAGTGAAAAGGCATGGAATCCAGAAGTGGAATTTAAAACAGAATATTCTATATTTTGTCCTGAGGCAATAGGAACCTGCTGGAATTTATTACATAGTGGTAGGGGGTGGGCTGTGACATGGTGAGACTTGTGCTAGGAAGATCACTTTAGCAGTTGAGTGGAGATTATACTAGACTGGAGAGACGCTTGAAACCAAGATTAGCTAGAAGGCTATTTGCAGTGGACCAGACTTGAATCAGATGATAAGGGCCTGTATCAGGGTGGCAGCAGCATGAGTTAAAAGAAGAGGATACATACAAAAGAAATGACAAGGCTGGGCAACAGATTGTCTGTGTGGGCAGAGTACAAAATGAGGAGTCAAGCACGACACCGAATTTGCAAGCCTGGGTGACTGGTATAACAATGGTGTCCTTGAAAGCAGTAGGAAAGTTGGGAAAAGGGGATTTTTGGGGGGGTTGGTATATAATAAGTTCCGTTTTGGGCATGTTGAGTTTGAGATATCTATGGAATATCTGATTGGAGGCAGTTGATGAGAGACTGGAGCTCAAGAAAGAGGCTAGGGCTAGATTTATAGAACTGGGAACCATCTGCATAGAGATGGTAATTGAACTATGAGAGCTGATGAGACGTAGCTCCAGAGCCTTGGGGACCCCCAAAGTTAACGTGCGTGTGACCTTAGCAGAAATTCTGCAAAGTAGACTGAGAAAGAACAGTCAGAAAGAGAAGAGAATCAGAAAAGAGCAATGTCATTAAAAAAAACCTAGAGAGACACTCTTTAGTATCCAGGAAAAGAGGATGATTGTGATGGTGTCAGAGGCTACACCATGTCAAGAAGGATGAGGATTGAGAAAAAACCATAGATTTGGCAATTAAGAGATCCCTGTTAACTCGAGAAAGAGTAGTTTCAGTTGAATGATGAGGAAGCCTATTAGCAGAGGATTTAAATATACAAACCCCTAGCTGCTATACTACCTCATAAAAGAAGGGTAGGAGATGTGTGTTCTGCCTTACTGAGACCCTGTGGGTCCTCCTTTGTCTGGCTCAAGGAAATGAAGTCACACACATACGTATTCTCAGCAATTCAGCTGTAACTACAGCCAGACTTCCAGATGGCTCAGAACTATGCAGGGCTGTGCACTTTTATACAGAAATTTACAAAAGGAGTCAATGCCTTTTGCAAGCGTGCCTATATAAGGTAAGCAAGCTCCAGCTACCTTTGGATATGCTAATCATGACTAAGTCTGATTTGGCTAAACTCAAGGGCAGGTAGAATTCCTTTGGGATTCGGGACTACATTCACAGATATTCATTAGTCACTATAATTGTTCCAATTTAAATGTCTGCCTTTATCTGGTGAAGTAGCCGATCTAAGTAGTCAATCCAAAAATATTCCCCGTACTGGTTTGCCACAGGGATGTGTTCCTCACTCAACTGGAATGAAATTTCTACCATTAGTCACCGGAATAATTCTTTTTTCCTTAAAGCCACCGTAAAAATTACTTGTGTTACCCTAGAGCCTTTTGGCTCTCTCCCAAGGCCACTTTGGTGAGGATTAGTTTATCAGATTAACTGTTCAACACCTTAGAAAGCACAGATAGGATCAAGTACAAGTCTGGAAGTAAAACGAGAGGAACCAGCAGCAACAAGTAAGTGGGAAAGAGCTGTTACATGCCATGATTAGGTGACGAAATGTCAGCAGTTAATGAATGGCCAGGTACAGCCTCCTGACCAGAAATTAGGCTGGGCTTAGCCAGCATTGCTATCATTTCCAGGTAATCCAGGAATAGAAGTAAGACTTGCAATGGCAGGAACCAAGGATATAGTCAAAGGCAGATACTAAGGAATACCAATTGTTAAGTAGTCCCTTGGGGAGAATGCTGAACATGTCAAAGCTGAAGACATAGATAGTGGTATGTCAGCGTCCTGGAGGGACTGGCTAATGAGATCCCAGTCCTTAAAGCATGCATGAATTTACCCTTTAAGGCGATTTATACAGAGCACGTGCAATAGTCCCTAATCCAGCACGTGGAGGCTTGGTGGTGAGCCTCTTTCTGGCCATGAGTGTCTGGGGGGGCTGGTACTGAGACTGATGAGGAGTCTTCTGGCAGGATCACCAGAAACCTTCTAGCTTCAAGGAACCTATGTCATAGATGGGGCCTAATAGATGAGATCTGTACCAGAAGCTAATAATTGAGGGGTTGGTAGTTCTAGATGATTAAAAATAGAGTCTGAAAGGGCTAGAAGCAAAAGATTCTGTCTGGGTGACATAATGTAGCAAGGTAGCTACATGACCCAAGGGCAGAGACAGAATCAGAGTCAAAGACCAAAGCCTGATTGAGAGGAAGTAGGAACACAGGTGAGAAGAAGGGCTGAATAGTACCAGTGTACCACACCTTAAGGAAAGGTCATGTTTCATTTGTGTCTTTGTGCACAGCAGCCAGTAGGTGTTTAAGGCATTTTTGGTGAACTGTTTTAGCTTCCAAGTCAATGCCCTTGTGCTTAACTGTACTCACCCCACTTGATCAGAGGAATGTTGCTTTAGAAGCCACCCAATGAGATTGAGCGACTTGCCAGAGTAAATATCTGAAGCAGGATTTGAACTTAAGTCTTCCTGACTCCAAACCTAACACTCTAACTACAATGTCACCTGACTGTCACCAGGGATCCCTCTAAGGAGGAACCTTAGGACATCTATCTCTACAGTCTCTTGACAGAGAGGGAGGTAGCTGTACTAGGAGTAGTGATGAACAGTGGTGGGGCATTTTGAGGAACATTGGGGAAGGAAGTATACAGCAAGCTTGGATCAGCTCATTCCTGAGACAGCTCAGAACAGAGTGCAACTTGAAATTTTAATTAAATTCAAAACCCTCCTCCTGCAGGAGGTACAGTGGGAAGAGCACTGGATTTGGAGTCAGAGGACTCAGGTTCAAATCCTGGTTCTGTCACTGACTGCCTGTGTGACCCTAAGCAAGTCATTTAACTTTTCTAGACCTCCATTTCTTCATTTGTAAAATGAGAGGGCAACTAGGTAGTATAGCAGATAGAGTGCCAGGTCTTGAATTAGGAAGACCTGAATTCAAATCTAGCTTCAGACACTTACTAGCTGTGTGACCCTGGCCAAGTCACTTAACCCTGTTTGCCTCAGTTTTCTCATCTGTAAAATGAGCTGGAGAAGGAGATGGTAGACCACTCCAGAATGTACGCCAAAAAAACTCACAAAGAGTTGGACATGACTGAATAACAACAACAACAACAACAACAAAAAGAGATGGCTGGACTGGATGACCTCTGAGGTCCCTTCCAGCTCTAAATCTAGAATCTTAGGATCTTACCTCAGTGAGGCAGGCACAGTATTCCACCTCCTTGCCAGAGTTCATCCTGAGCATAGTCAGAAGAGAGGAGCAGTTAGTATGTATACAATGTCTACCTTTGATGGGGATGGTTAATTTTCAGTCTCTAAAAGCTCTTTCATTGTCTTGAGGAGAAAAAGTTCATCTCCTGATAATAGAGAAACAATGCTCCTGAGAGGCATAATAGATGCACTTGTTCAAGAAAGTTGTTTCCGGAAAGGATGGCAGAAAGGAAAATGAACTGAGTGAATTTGAACCCAGCATCAGTAATGATAGCCTGTTGGCACACCTTCATTATAGTGTTGATGAGGTCTAGAGGTTAGGGGTCCTGGAATCCCAAAATCACAATACATGGGTCGTGCGTGAAAGAATTTGACCCAAGACTTTTCAGCCAAAAACAAGATTTATTTAAGATATGCCATATTAGCTAGACTCTTAAGGAATCTGTCTGTGGGCTATTGGCTAGATAGGGAAAATCTGAGCAGTGGCTAGATTATAAGAATCCCAGCCTCTTAATGGAGACAAAATGGACCTTATACACAGAAAGACTATGGGAGGGATCTAGGAGTGGTCAAGTAGTCCATGAGGTAATAGAACTTCAGGGGTGGCCAAGGGAGAATGGAGCCTAGATAGGATTAAGGGTGGGAAGTGGCCTGGGGACATAGGGAGGTCTATGCTATGTTAAGGGTAATAGATTGGGCACAGCCACAATGAAAGGCCAGTTGATGGGATTTTAGTCTCAGGGGAATGCCTGAGATTTGGCCATGTGGGAAAGTCCAGGGTTTTTCCTTTTTGGGGTCTAGATCCCATCCTCATCAGTATTAGGACAGGAAGGTGCATTAGAGGTCATTTAGTCCAATTTTTCATTTTATAAATGAAGAGAATATGGCCTAAAGAAATTATTCGCCCAATGTAGTAAATTAACAGCCTTTGAAACAATCCTCCAATTGCAAAATCAACTAGTAGGTATTATCCCCACCCTCACTGTATTCCTGACAGTACCTCTACCAGGAACAACATAGCATCAGAGAAAGGAAGAATGAGATTGCACTTCAGGGATCATAGAATCAGAAGAATTTAGAGGTCATCTAATCCAAACCCCTCACTTGAATGATGAGAAAACCGTAGCCTAGAGAAGTAAAATCTTTTGCCCAAGGGCACCCAAGCAGTACATAGCAAAGGAAGGATTTGAATCCAGGTACTATAATTCCAGATCCATCACTCATGCCTCAGATCATTTGATTCAATCTCTTCATTTTTCTAGGTCAAGAAACTGAGGTCTAGAAAAGCAGCAAGTCATACCACATCAGCATGATTCTAAGCACTCTATAGGGGCAGCTAGGTGGCACAGTGGATAGAGTTTTGAGTCTGAAGTTAGGAAGATTCATTTTCCTGAGTTCAAATTTGACCTCAGATACTTAATAGCTATATGACCCTGGGCAAGCCACTTAACTCTGTTTGTCTAAGTTTCCTTACCTGTCAAATGAGCTGGAGAAGGAAATGGCAAACCACTCCAGTCTCTCTTCCAAGAAAATCCCAGATGGCATCATGAAGAGTCAGCCGTGACTAAAATGATTAAACAACAAGAAGACGTACTACGTCAGCCATTGCAGCTTTCTACGGTGAGGCAACTATAAGTTAATGTTTTTAAAAGGGTAATATTTTTAAAGGAATGGCAATTTTAAGTTTATATATTATATACGTATACACATATGTACACATACATATATTCAGATGCATATGTACATACGGTATGTAGCTTAGTGAATAGAGAGCTAGCTTCAAAGTAATACTGCCTCTCATACATACTGGCTGTGTGATCCTGGGCAAGTCACTTAACTTCTCAGTGCTTTAGGCAATTCTCTGCAAATTGCAGAGAAGGTGCTGACCTACGTGAGTTTCCTATACCAAGGAAATCATAAGATCAATCCCTATCCCTATCCTTTTATTTAATTGACTTAGGGCTCTAGCTTGAAGGATATGAATAGATATAAATACATATAACATTTAGATGTATGTATAAATATATATGTGTATAATTGTATACATATGCGTGGATATGTGTATATATTTATATGTATGTATACGCGTGTGTGTGTGTGTGTGTGTGTGTGTGTGTGTGTGTGTACAGCTAGGTGATGCAATGGTTAGAGTGCCCAGTCTGGAGTCAGGAAGACTCATCTTTGTGGGTTCAAATATGGCCTCAGACACTCACTAGCTGTGTGACCCTGGGCAAATGATTTAACTCTCTTTGCCTCAGTTTCCTCATCCATAAAATGAGCTGGAGAAGGAAGCGGCAAACCACTCCAGTATCTTTGCCAAGAAAACCTCAAATGTGATCACTAAGGGTCAGATACAACTGAAACAACTGAACAACAACAACAAATAAATAAATACATATGTGTATTTATGCGTATATACACAGTATGCACACATAAATTAAGGTAGATGGCCATTTGAATGTTTTAACTTCAGCTTGAGCCCTGCGTCAAATTGTTTCATGTCACAAAGCATTGAAAAGTCATTTCATGCTGCAGAGAGATTTAAAGCAATGGTCAATACTAGAAGACCAGCTACTGATTATAACAAATTTCCCCAAAAGGCCATCTCAAACACGACCAAAAATAGACTATATTTAAGAGTGGAAATCCCCTTCTTCACCAAACATACCCCAGCGGTCGAGCCGTCTAAGAATTCATCTTCTGCACAAGTGATAGGACAAAGCTTTTCCCTTGGTGCCTGCCACAGCTACTCCCTCTTCCTTCCTGCCACCCACATGTGAAGTAGCAAGTGTCATCAGTTAAACGGCTTACACCTGGTCCCTAGCTCCCTGTGCCTTCTTATCTCCATGTAGGACAAAACATACTGTGCTTAGGCTCCTGCCTGAGCACAATAGAGTTATTTCACTTTTATTTCTACTTTCTCAGTTTCATTTAAATATGTGTTTCCCTTTCAAGCATTTCTTACCAGGCCTCCTTCCCCTATAGCCTTGGCTCCTGGCTCTTTCCAACATTCTTCATTCAGAAAGCATTACATATTGGCTACATTTGGGGAAATAGGCTTGATGGTGGTCGAGAGTCCTAGGTTCTAATCGTATGTCCACCGCTAACTCACTTTGTGACCTTGTACAGGTTACTTCAGCTCTCTGAGACTCAGTTTCTCCATTTATAAAAATTTAGGGATGTATGGTACACATTCTCCCAACTGGGATTCACCCTAACCAATTTCAATGGAGATGAGTGGACCCAATAAGTGATTGCTTAACCAAAGCTGACTGGTCAAATATCTAAATTCTCTACTTCAAACAGCTCCAAAGTCTTTGCACAGTGACCCTGGGTGGCTCAAAGGACAGAGGAAGAAAATTGTTGGGAGTGGGAAGAATAGAATGAAGGAAGAAAGCATATGTGTGTGTGTGTGTGTGTGTGTGTGTGTGTGTGTGTGTGTGTGTGTGTGTGTGTGTGTGTATAGGTGTATTTGGGGATTTTTTTAGACCTGTGATTTCATTGGCATGGGGAAGTTCCTGATAAGGAAACTCCCTCTACCAATGCAGATTGGCTCTTCTCTGCAACTTACCATCTTAGGGAATTGCCTAGGGCACTTAGAGTTTAAATGACTTGTCTAGAGTGACACAGCCAGGATGTGGCAGCATATTTTTAAGTTTTGAGAAGCAAGGACATTTGATAAGAGTTTAGCCAGCCAGTAAAAATTTGCCATAGACTAGAGAGATACATTGGACTCAATGACCTCTAAGGTCCTTTCTGGCTCTAAGAGTTATATACCCTCCTAAGCTACAATTAATATCAATTCAGGCCCCTGCCACCTACAGCAAAACTACTCAAAGGTTCTTTCTTTCTTAGTTACCATATTAGGAAACAGATCTGGAGCAGAAAAAATGCAGCTTCTTCCTGTAAAATGTAAATGAATAAAAACAAAATATCCACTGAACTTTGAAAATAAATTCAAACTTCTCTTTCCTTGACCACTTTTTTCCCATATGCTCTCCCTACTTCCAGCTTCAATCTGACTCTGATTACTGTACTCAATTGGCCTATCCAGGTTGCTTCCTAATTGTCAATATTTATCATCTCCTAACGTCAACATTCAAGTAATTTTGCATGGATGCAAATCATGGAATTCTCCATTGCATGATGAATTGAAGTAACCAGTCACTCAGAGGGCAATGGAGAGGCAGATGGGGGAGGGGAGTGTAAGTAGGGAGCAACATACCGCAGGAGGATCATAATGGATACCATTAGAGAAAACTGGAAAGATATGTGGCCCAGTTGTATACAGAATGCAAAAGGTTAACTAGGAAGTGCCAATGTATTCCATGATTACTATGCAATGTCAAAAGTTCTAAAACAGGGGTTTCCAACCTAAGGCCTGGGATAACAGGAAACTAGGTATCACAGTAGTTAGGGTACTGAGCCTGGAGTCAGGAAGACCTGAGTTCAAATTCAGCCTCCGACACTTGCTAACTATGTGGCCCTGGGCAAGTCACTTAACCCTGTTTGCCTCAGTTTCCTCATCTATCAAATGAGTTGGAGAAGGAAATGGCAAACCACTCCAGTATATTTGCCAAGAAAACCCCAAATGGGGTTGCTAAGAGTCAAACACAACTAAAACAACTCAACATCTAGGACAATGGACAAATTTCAGGTGGTCCAGGAACTTGGATGGGGAAAATTGCATCTTTATTTTCACTAATCTTTAATTGAAATTTAGCACTCTCTTCAATTTCTTAAAAATATCATTCTGAGAAGGGCTCCATGGGCTTTACCAGACTGACAAAGGGGGTTTATGACTCAAAAAAGGTTAAGAACCTTTGATCATTGAAGAAGGCCCACAACATTTAACTGACCTTAGAGGATTTGCAGGTAGATATGGATAATAGCCACACAGGATGAGAAAGTATGGATGATTGTGATCTATACTGTTGGCAGTGTATACCCATATTTATGAGATCACAGATCCATCCAAATAGTGAGATATGTTTGTGTTCCCCAAACAATTAACTTCAGATTGGGCTTCTGCTCCTATAACAAATTTACTCAAACTGTGATTAGCAAATGTATAAAACCCAATAGATGGATACCAAAAAAAAAAACCAAACCCCACTAAAGTAGGCTTTCCCCTAACTTTTCAGTTGCTCCCACTGCTGTGACTTGGCATAACCCGAAGCTTCTCAATAAGTAGCCAGCAGTAGGGTAAACAGGTATATAATTACAGAGAACAAAACTCAAAGTAAATGCAGAATGTCCCATAACTTCAATCATCCTTAATTCCAGTGGCTCCCTATCATCTTTAGGATCAAATAGAGACTCCTCTATATGATATTTAAAGCTCTTGCCAACCTGGCTCCTTTCTACCTTTTCAGTCTTGTTACACTTTACTCTCCTCTTGCTACAGTGGCTTACATGCAGACCCTTGCATGTGGCACATCACTTTCCCCCATGCCTGAACTGCTCTGACCCTTCACCTACACCTGTCAGCTCACAGCTCTCAGCTCAACTTCTACAGGAAGCCTTTCTGGGTCCCCCTCCCCACTTCCCTCAGCTGCTAGTGCCTTCTCTCTCAGATTACCTTCCATCTACTCTAAACATATCCTGTATGGGCCTTGTCATTTATCTGTTTTAAGAGATTATAAGTTCCTTGAAGATAGGAACTATTTTTACCTTTCTTTTTTTGCCAGTGTTTAGCACAGGGGTGGGGAACCTGCAGCCTCGAGGCCACATGTGGCCTTCTAGGTTCTCAAGTGAGGCCCTTTGACTTAATCTAAACTTCATAGAACAAATCTGTTCATATACCTGTTTCTTTTTCATACTTAAATGTTTCCCTTGGTTTCACAGAACAAATTAAGTTTGGATTCAGTCGAAGAGCCTCAGCTGAGGATCTAGAGGGCCATAAGTGGCCTTTCCCCACCCCTGGTTTAGCACTTGGTAAGCCCTTCAATGCTTGCTGATTGATTGATTGACTATAATGTAAATTCACTAGAATGGAAGCATATTGGGAGTTGTATTGGTTTCATTCTTTGAATTTATATCCCCAGTGCCTAGTATAGTGTGTGGCACACAGTAAGCACTTTGACTGACTCTCTCAGCACAGATATAGACCACAATGGTCTCCACATTTTAGTAGTGAGTTCATAACTTGCTGTGGTTGGAAAATTTCATCACCTTATTGCCATTCTAATGACAAGCATCTTCAAACATTGATAGCTAGGCTTTGTGAAAGATACTTAGTCTATCATTGATTTCGAACTTCAAGTTTTTCTAACTTGACAGGACCTGTTAGGTCTTGTGTTTCACTAGCATTACCTTCAAGAACAGAGTATTAACCAGGGATGACAATGTACACTTGTAATCCCACCTCCCAGGGAAGCTGAGACTGGAGGATTATTTGAGTTTAGGAGTTCTGAGCTTCAGTGGACTAAACTGACTGGGTGTCCACACTAATTCTGGCACCAATATGGTGAATGCCCAAAAGTGGGGAGCCACCAGATTGCTTAAGGTAGGGAAGAATCAATCTTGGTTGGAAGCAGAGCAAAAGGAAGTTCCCATGCTAATCAGTAGTGAGACTGGTCTGGTGAGTGGCAATTATATTTCCAACCTATATGAGACAAGAAAAAGAGAGAAAGCAGTAAAGAAAGAGAGAAAGAAAGAAAAGAAGAAGAAAGGGAAGGAGGAAGGAAGAAGAAAGAAGGAAGAAGGGAAAGAAGAAAAAAGAAGGAAGGAGGGAGAGAGGAAGAGAAAAAGAAAAACAGAGAGAAAGAGGGAGGGAAGGAGGAAGGAAGAGGAAAGAAAGAAGAAAGGAAGGAGGGAAGGAAGAAAAATGAAGGAAGAGAGAGGAAGAGAAAGAAAGAATGAATAAAAAAGAAAGAAAGGAAGGAAAAGAGGAAGAAAGGAAGAAAGAAAGGAAGGAAGAGAGAAGCATCACTTCCGCAAAATAATGAGTCATTGGAGGTGGACTTTAATGACTTTGTTTTTATTATTATTAAATAATAATGGTAATAGCACCTTTCATTTACTTAGCAACTAATACTCTTCTAACTAATTTCTCACAGAGCTTCTCTTTTATGCTCATAACAGCCCAGCTGGAGCCAATAGGGGAAGTTTTTTTTTTTTGTTTTTTGTTTTACCCTGATAGCACAAATGAAAAGGTTTTTTCTTTTTTCTTTTTTTCCCTGATGGTACAAATGAAAAGAGGCAGCTAGGTGGGTCAGTGGATAGAGCACTGGACCTGGAGTCAGGATGACCTGAGTTCAAATCTAGCTTTAGAGACTCACTAGCTGCACGACCCTGGGCAAGTCACTTAACCCATTTGTCTTAATCCACTGGAGAAGAAAATGACCGCTCTATTGTCATTGCCAAGAAAACCCCAGACTGGGTCAAGAAGAGTAAGACATGACTGAATGATTGAACAACAAATGAAAAAGTTGAAGGTTAGAAAAGTCAAATGATTTGCTTACTCCAGAGTGCAGTGGTAGAGCCAAGACTAGACACCAGCTCTCCTGACACTCTGTCCAACACTCTTTCCAAGACATTAAATGAGAATTCCAAAAAACTACAGTGAAGCTATGGATAAATTAACATTGTTTTCTGGTAAATGAAAATGGCCAGGTTGCAACAATCATGATGTTATTAAAAAGACTGAGAGACCTGTCTTTGAAATGTAATGCCTCAAATTGGGACATTTGCTTCTATAACTCCCCCAAAAGTCGCGTCATATCATTAAGGGAAACTTCTATCTGTCTAAGGGTGTCCAAGTCCTTCATGTTACCACTAGTTTTTGGCAACACTGTGGTGGGCAGGGCCATCATGAATTTGCATGCTTTGCTCATCAGCTGGATGCAAAGTGTCTGGGCAAAATGGGATATTTTCTCCTTAGTCAAATGGCATGGTGCCATTATGAAATATAGAGACCCTTTTCCTGGATTAAGACTCTCACACAAATTATATGTTTGTAGTTAGCAAACAAGGAAAGGAAGCTGACTGTCAGTGATTGACAGTGTGTTCAAAGACAATCCTTCCAGGAGCAGAGAAGAACTCAACAATTGTTAAGCCAGCTACCTTTGACTAAAAATAAAATAAACAAAAAACCACAAACCTGCAAATACATTCGTCCCTCCGCAGAAATCTTCATAACTAGTGTGAAGAGGCACAGTTTTTGTGACATAATAAGAGAGATTCATTGTATATCACCAGGTACAAAGAGGACATGATCTAACCTGTAGTATGAGCAAAACTGTGGTTTAGTAATCTGGAAATAATACCTTGGGAATAATAACACTACCTTAGAGGGGTTTTTTTTTTATTGTACTTCACTTGCTGTTTTCAAAACTCCATCAGATCTCATACACATTATCTCATTTGATTCTCACAAGAACCTATTAACTCCATTTGACAGAAGGATAAACTGAGGCTCAGAGAGATTAAGATATTTACTTTAAACTAAAAGTAGCCCTTCTGACTCCTGAGTTTTTTCCACTACAATAAACACACACACACACACATACACACACACATATACATACACATACATCATATATTTTGTATATGTATGTATAATTTGGCTGTGTGTTCACAGGATAATTTAAAGTTAGAGTATCCCGGCCAATATACCTAATGCTACTGGGTGTGATTTTTTTTTCTCTTTTTAAATTTCCTCCTCTACATCAGGAGTGCATGGTAGAGATGACAAAAGCAGACAACTAAGAGAAATGTGAAAAAACATACTGAGAATCATCAAGCCATGACAATGGGCCATGAGTCATAAACCCTCTTCCTTCAAGGTTCAGCTTAGGGATCACCTTTTTCACAAAGCTTTGACTGACATCCCCAGCTAAAATTCATATTGCCTTCCTCAAATTATTCTAGAGCCTTTTCTCTGGCTCTCTTATTTGCTCATATCATATTCTCCTTTTTATTATATTCCTTTGTGTACATGTTAATTGCCACAGATGACATTTGTAAAGCACTACCAATTTTGCAGCTAGGGCAGCCAGGTGGTGCAGTGGATAGAGCACAGGGCCTGGTGTCAGAAAGAGTTGAGTTCAAATTTGACCTCCAACATTTACTAGCTGTGTGACTTTGTGATCCCTGAGCTGGGCCTTGAAGGAAGATGGATCATAACTCAGGGCCCACAGTCCTGGCTTGATGATTCTCAGTGTGTTTTTTTCACATTTCTCTTAGTTTTCTGCTTTTGTCCTCTCTATCACACACTCCTGGTGTAGATGAGGAAATTTTAAAAAAAGGAAAAAAAAATCATAACCAGCAGCATTCGATATATTGGCCAGGATACTTTAACTTTAAAATTTCCTGTGAATGCACAGCAAAATTATACATGCATGCACAAAATATATGAAAAATATAGGCAAATAAAGAGATAATTGACTTTCAAACATGCAAAAAAATAGTAACTCTAGAGCAGGAAGGGACCTACGAGGCCTTCTAGTCCAACCCTTTTATTTTTTAGATGAGAAAACTGAGTTCCAGGTAGGTTATTTGTCCAAGGTCACACACACAGTAAGTGGCAGAGGCAGGATGAATTCTCAGGAAAATCAAAATAGCACCCATTGCCCTAAACTATAAATACATTATGTTAACCACAGAAAATATTCTGAAACCATAGAAAATATGGTTTATTTCTACTATAGGATTATAGACCTGGAGCTTCAAGGGGCCTCAGAGACCAGTCAGTCCAACCTCTTCATTTTACAGATGAGTGCATTGAGGCCCCAAAAGGTAAAGTCATTTGCCCATACCTGCCGGTAGTAAATGGCTGAGTCGAGCTTAGAACCCAGGCCCTCTGACTCCAAATCTAGAGCTCTTTTCCATCATACCCCTCACTGAGCCTTTCTGTGTTTTACATGAGGACACATTCCTAAGGAAGACTACTGGAAGATCTGAGAGTGTGTGACCAAGCTGTAGTACATTGTGAGCCCATTTTCATTCTCTATCTTCCCAAATTCACGTCATTCAGTTGTGTTCTGCTGCTTTTTGTAAGCTGGTTTGTCATGTTTTTCTTTTTCAAATATTCCATACTCTTTTATCGCAATATACCCCACATTTTCTGTTCCTATCATCTTTGCTGTTGTTGTTCAACATTTTCAGTTGTGTCTGACTCTTCATGACCCCATTTCGGGTTTTCTTGGCAAAGGTACTGGCGTGGTTTGCCATTTCCTTCTCCAGCTCATTTTACAGGTGAGGAAACTGAGGCAAACATAGTTAAGTAACTTTCCCAGGGTGAACACAGCTAGTAAGTGCCTGAGGCCACATTTGAACTCGGGTCTTCCTAACTCTAAGCCAGACACTCTATCCACTGTGCTCCCTAGCTGCCCCCATGTCATCTTGCTCTTTCCCTTTACCCATGGTGCTTTGACTTCTTTCTAGCTGTCTGCTGTTTCATTTTTTGGTTTAAAGGAACAAAGTAGCAGGAGTAGGGAACCTGAGGCCTCAAAGCCACGTGTGGCCCTCTAGGTCCTCAAGTGCAGCCCTTTGACTGAATCCAAACTTCAAAGAACAAATCCACCCTTGTCTTAGACTAAACCTAGGTCTTCTGACTCTTAGTCCGGAGCCCTTTACACTATCAAAAAAATTATATTTGAAATTTTTTAAAAAAAATACAGTTAAGATTTTGACATCAGGAATCCAAGTATACCAGTTTAAGATTTTAAATTTCATTTTACTATATTTGGCTCAATATTCTGTCCTGACTAGATCTCTTTTTATTTTAAATCCTTACTCTTATCTAGTGTTAGTTATCTCTCCCAGTTTTGGGTCATCAGCAAATTTGATGAGTATGCCATCTATGACTTTATTCAAGTCATTAATAAAAATGTTAAGCAGTGCAGGGACTGGCATCTATCCATAGGCCACTTCAGAGGATGGATGGATACCTTCTCCACCTTGATATCTAAATACTAATGAGGACTTTTTAGGGCTCAAAAGAAATAGCTTTTGTCTGAATTAAATCCTTGTAGCCCTGGACCTCTTTTCTTCATTGGCCAACCTTCAACCCTACCCCAGATTTGAGCAAAGACTGGGCTGCCAATCAAGGGTGTTTGAGCCATCAGGTTACATAACAACCTCTGTATTCTAGACTGAAGTTAAACTCATTTGAACAACACTGAATGCCAAGAAATGGGGCCCTGAAGGCAATGTGAGCAGGGAAAACTTCACAGAGTCATGTTGCTCTGATGTACCCCGCATGGAGACAAAACATGTACTCAGATGCTTAATGATGGACCTGGGACTGTTTCACTTGGTTTTGTTTCAGAACATCTAATATTTCCCCTGGCAGCCCCTAGCTAAAACATAGAAAGAGATTTTCAGGCTGTTTCAATTAAAGCTACCTTCTTTTTTGAATAACTAGTTTTGCTTCCAGACAAAATAATGAAATAGTATTTTTGTTGATGCTGCCGTAATAAAATTCCACAATGTATTACACCAGAGAGAGAGAGAAAATAGGCATAGAAATAAATATAGATCATGGAGAGATAAAGACAGATAGACAACTAGACAGAAGGACAGAGTATTTATTTAGTACTTGCTATATGCCATGCATCATTCACTTGGTGCAATGGTGTCTGCTATGATGGTCCTAAGAGCTATCTAAGATGATAGGATTCTAAATTTAGAATTGTAAGAGATCTTAGAGATCAGCTATTCCAGTCTCCACCTCTGAATTTTACAGATAAGGAAACTAAAGCTCAGAGATAAATGCATGAGATGAGAGGGCCATATGTATTTTTGCCTATGATTTTGCCACAGTTCACATATTTAGGTATTTTTTGTAGATTGGAGAGAAGGCACTACTTATTAAAAGGAAGTTACTATCTAACCATCTTATAAACTGTTCTACAGTTCTCTGCCTTAAGTCTCTGCCCACATCACAGGGTCATAGGCCCTTAGAGCCAGAACTAGAAGGGACACTAAAAATCATCTACCATGTGGCAAGGATAAAACCTCCTAAGTTCCCTGCCAAGTAGGCTAAAATAGTTGTTTTCCTGAGAGTCAAAGAAGCCATCCTCAATACTTAATTGGTCCAGAGGACTAAGGCTTAAATTGGTGATGTAGCTGCCTCATCTCCCAAGAACAAAAGACCAGCACGGGAGGAGTTGGGGCTTCTTGGACTTGACATATTCTTCTTACCAGGTATGCCAACACAGCAGATGTGAAGGCAGAAAAGCTGTGTCAAATTTAACCAATGCTGTATCCTTGTTGAACATTCTTTCTTTATTATTGTTAAGTAAACTTCTTTCTGCTAAATCAGACCTGCATAACTTGACAGTAAGTAGGGGCCAAAATTAAAATAGGCTAAACTTCTTTGGGCAACAGATAGATTTTTAGTAGCTCACTTTCCAAGTAAAGGTATAATTAACAATTAAACTATTTTGCAAATAAACCATATTTTAAAAAGGGAAATTTCAATTAATATCAATTAATTACATTTATTTACTTAAGATTTTTATCATGAAATCATATTAACATTAAAAATTACTTTGTTAAGTGATACAAGTTTTAATATATTTTTTCAGGTTTTCTTACTGTTCACATTTAGTTAATGGGCTACATTATACTTCTTGTCAGCAATCTGTTTATCGTTCTCCAGAATCATGTTTGAAATTGATTTCTTTAGAAATCTGAAAACTAACCTTAGTAACTGCCTCATTTTCTGAGTTTACTTTCTTGAAAAACCATTGTTTCCTATTGAGATTTTTCAACAATTTGGGTGCTTTAATTTGTTTTTCACTGGTGTCCAATTTGCTTAAGTCAGGATGTTTTGATTTGAATTGGCGACAGATCGTCTGCCTTTGGAATGTCTATTACTTCTCAGCAAACAAGGCACAATATTTTGTCTCTCGCGCAAATAAACAAGTATCTATTTGTCCACTCCCGATTAAACACTCTATGTTCTGATTTGATCTTCCATTTCTTTTTATCACCCATTTTACAAAGTCACCCCAAAAACTTTAATGTTAGAACCAAAAAAATCTCCACAGCAACTGCTCACATGCAAAGAAATACTGAGCTGAGTGTCTGACCTTGGAGAGAGCTCCAGACGCTCGTGTAACTTGGAGGGTGGCTGTGCAGCGAGGGGAGGGAAGAAGCCCTCACGTTGTTGCCAAGCGTCACATAGAGGGTATAAGTTGTGTTGGCACGTGGCTGCACTTTGTCCTTGTTCAATGCCAGAAATGACCAGAAACACAGGCAAAAGGAGTAGGAACAGACTGATGATGGGTGGTTTGCCACAGGTCACATGACAAACAGGAGAGCATGCGCAGTAGCAACCCACCTGTCAACTTACGCAAGGAGCACAGTAGTGACTAGTGGAAGGCAGGTTAAGTGAGCATGGAAAAAGCACTTGTTACATCTTTACTTTCTTTTACATCCTCTACATTTTTTGTGGACTGCCCAAAATCCTTTGGCAGGCTGCAAGTGGCCTGAGGGCCGTATGTTGTGCGGGCCAGTGTTAAATGTTTGCTGGTTTAATGTGTTTCATTTCATTGTGAGGGAAATTGATATTATGCAATTATATTAATAACCAATTATTAATTTGTGAACCATCCTTTTCCCTCCAATTTTTGTCAAGACCCCATTCCTGAAAAGGCTAGGCAGTGTCAGAAGCGCCTGAAGGAGTCATGTGATCAATCCTAACCCCCAAGGCATCTGCTAGTTTGAGCTGAACCCCACCCAAATGGGACTGGACTTCTATCTACTCTATAAATAAGACCCAGTTTGAGTTAGACCCTCCCCCAGGAAATGCGAGCTTTGTCCTTGCTCTCTTTGTTAAAGTTCGGGGTGACCTGGTCAACAAAGTGGAGAATAAGTCAATGAAAACCTGATTGAGATGGCTTATGTTTTTCTGTTTAAGATTGCTGGCAACTCAAATTGCTTTAGGAGTCAGAGAGGAGCGTGACTGGACACATCTGAAGGCCAGCCCACTGGCCCTCAGCTGCCTGCCCCCCTCCCAAAGATGAAATAATAAGAAGGAGTCAAGAACTCTTAGCTTACCTGCTCATTAAAATGTCCACCAATCAGGATTGTAAAGGTAGGTCTCAATTATGTACTGTCAGGCCAATTAGATGAAAGACACATCTAGGTATAAAAGACTCTGCCAGTTCTCACTCTGAATTTTTGGTAAAAATGCAGGCACATCATTGATCTGTCCTTTATCAGTAGATCACATGCCCTGATTAATAAGTGATATTATCTTTGGAGAAATGACCTCATTTTATTTATTGGTTAAACCCCCCCCTCCCCCAATAATTCTAATACTGAGTCTGAAGCACCCACATCAGTCTTGGCCTAGTACTTTTGGTATTAGTTGGAAAACCTTATGGTTGAAATGGAGAAAGGTCAATGACAAGAAAGATGAGTCCTGAGTGATTGGATATTCTGATAATAGAGCCTTGTACCTTCTGCTACTGTGCTGTTGGTGTTCTGGCCTCATTTTTCAAGGGAACTATCACTGACTGAGGGAACTAGAAAGTTAACTAAAGACAGATGAGAATGGGCTGTAGGTCTTTAAGACCTATCCTCCAAGATGGTAATTGTTGAATTTTCATTACTTTGTAATTTGGGGGTGATAGTGATCTACTGGCCAATAGCCATCATGAAGACACTTTTTGATGATGACATAAATGTATAGACAATGGGACACAGGGCTCAACAGTTTGGTGACCATATTTCCCATATTTCAAAGGAGATTTCTGGATTTTGACTTCCTCTCCCTTGTGACTTCTCCACTAGAAAGCAAGGTCTTTGACATTAGGGCATGTTTTTATGTCAGCATTTAACACATTTCCTAGCACACAGTAAGCATTTAATTAATGCTTTTTAACTGACTGGCTGACAACATGGTCCCAGCTCCCATCACTGGGGTCCATCATGGACTCATTTTTGTTTTTTATTAGGCTCCTTGTTTTTTCTTCCTCTTTTTGCTCAATAGTAGCAAAATTTTAAAGTTCTGTGCCATAGTGATTACCACTTCCCAAATTCTACTTTCTAATAAAATTGTGTCCTATTTACCACCATGATTCCAGTTTTCTCTTGACCTCCTAGATTATTCCACCTTCCCCTCTCCTTTCTACCTCCTCTCAACTCCAACACCACAAATCTCAATGGTCTTGTGTTTCACATTGGCCTATATGAGAAGAAGATTGTGAATTCAGGAAGTCCACAACCCACTCCTATTTAGCCTGCAACTTAATGTGGCTCAATTTTTATTGTTGTTGCAAAACTCATTGAAAAGTCAGGGGCATAATAATGTGTCAGCTTCTCATACTATGAAGGGAAAAAACTGTGACACACTACATATGCTATGGAAGTAATTTTAGTATGCTCATGAGTCTTCATTTTTATCCTCGTCAATAATTTATAGCCCACTCACCTGGGATTTCTTCGCCGTTTGGTGAAGTGGACTCTAGCTGTATGTCCTCTAACCCCCATTTTAGTACTGTGGGGAAATTCTGACTCCAACCTTTAATCTCCCAGGAGTCTCCTAAAGTCATAGCTCCAGAAACCCTAAGCTAGTCTGGGAAACCCCTGTTCCTACACCTTTAACATGGAATCCCTGGTTTCCCGGAGGTAAGGGAGTAGTATGGGGATTTCCTGTCACTTCTGAATGGCTTTTTAAAAGTCCTTCAGAAGCATCTAGACACATGATCTGATTCATTCACTGCTTTGCTCAATTGCACCAGGGCAATCCTAGAGTTCCATAATTCCCCAAGGAGCCCCCACCCATCTTGGACCGAGTAAGTTGTAAGTAAGGGTCTCTGCCTCAATTCAACATGCTCTCAAGCTAGAGGGAGAAGACAGAGTCTACTAGCAGTCATCTTCCCTTAAAAACAGTTCAATAAACCTCCAGTTCAAATATCTGGAGTGAAAGTTCTCCAGTTGTTGACAAGGCTACCAATTTCCCACATGAATTAGTTTAAGAAGAATCTCTTCTGTTATTTAAAACCTTTCACAACTGGATTCCAACCCTTCTTACCAGACTAATTTCCCATTACTCCCTCTCACACACCATTACATTTTAAAAATATACTTATCTATATTTCCTTCAGTAGAATATAAAGTCTTCTTCTTCCTCTTCTTCCTCTTCTTCTTCTTCTTCTTCCTCTTCTTCCTCTTCTTCCTCTTCTTCTTCTTCTTCTTCTTCTTCTTCTTCTTCTTCTTCGTCTCCTTCTTCTTCTTCTTCTCCTTCTTCTTCTTCTTCTTCTTCTTCTTCTTCTTCTTCTTCTTCTTCTTCTTCTTCCAACCCCAGTACCTGCCACAATGTCTGGCACAAAATAGGCACTCCAATATTTGGTGAATTGATGAAGAGGGGTTATTTCATGTACAGAGCCAGCTTTAAACACATTATCATAAAATTGTGATCATCTGGAATAACTGAGGATGGATTTGCTAGAGCTAGCTAAATATATGGGTTATCTATACTTTAGCCCAGGCAGCTAGATGGCTCAGTGGATAGAACACTGGGACTGCAGTCAGGAAGACCTGATTTTAAATCTTACCTCAGATACTTACTGTGTGACCCTAGGCAAGTCACAACCTCTGTTTGCCTTAATTCATTAGAGAAGGAAATAGAAAATCATTCTAAAACCTTTGCCAAGAACAGTATGGTCCATGGGGTTATGCAGAGTCAGATACAACTGAACAACAACACTCCAGCCAAACTAGAATGCTGTTATTTCTGCCCCACCTTTCTAAAGTAGCCACACTTTCCCATCTGTACCTTTGCTGGAATTGCCGCCCTATTCTCTCTTTTGAATTCATTCCCACCCTTTAAAACCCAACTCAACTATGCCTCCTCCAGGAAGCCTTCTCTGATATCCCTTCCCCCCAGTCCATAATGACTTCCCAAACCTCCATCCAACCTCAAATAGCACTTGGTTACATGTCTATTATGTCCTTATCAAGTATCACTTTGCACTATAGTTATTAAGGTATGTCATATCCTGGAGAGATTGCAAGCTCCCTTCAGGGCATTGTGGCTCAGTGGAAAGAGCAATGATTATGGAGTCAGAGGATGTGGTTTCATTTCCCACCTCTGATATTAGTATCTGTGTGACCTTAGGTCAAGTTATTAAAACTTCCCTGGATTTCAGTTTCCTCCCCTGTGTAAAAAAAAAAAATAGAGATTGAACAAGACGGTCTCAGGAGGTCCTTTTTAGCTCTATCTCTAAAAGCCTATGATCTTAGGGCAAGAAATTGGTATCTCATCTAAACTTGTCTACTAACACAACATTCTATAATCAATGGGTGCTTAATGTTGAATTGAACTGAAGTTGCTATTTATTACTGAAGCCCAAGTGTTCCATTGATACTCTCCAAATGTAAAAAAGATCCAGAAAAAGACCTTCAGCATGTTGGGTGAACTCTCAGCGGAATAATGGAGATGAAAATCATAGGGAAAGATCTATAGAAGAAGAACCAGAACTATACAGGATAAAAAGGAATCAATGTGTGGGTTTGATATATATCAATAGAAGGAATACCCATATCGATGGGATCACGGTTCCATTGAAATACTAATGTTGAAAAAATTATAATATGGTAAAATACCTTAACATTAAAATAATGCTAAGTGTAATTTAATTTTTCTTTGATGGTTCAGAAAGAATTTGAGTATGTTTCCAGTGCCTTAGATAAATTTGAATATAAATTATCATTGCAAAGTACGAATGGAAAAATCTAGTAATGAGTGCTTTCTGGTCAGATTTGAGAATTTGCTCTTAGACTGAACTGAGATCACTAATCTTAGTAGAGTTGTTGATTTTTTTTCTAGTGGAGAAAGCTCAAGTAAATTGATTATTCCCTAGTTATAAAATAATTTAATTCATCTTCATCCAACACAGGAAGCCATGTAAGAGCCATGTTGAGCAGGCTCATTCTCTTAGAAGTGCCTGTGTGGAAGATAGAAGCTATGGAGAAGGATGATGCTCTAATGACACCAGTTTGGGATACTCTAGGAAAATCATCTTGATGGTGACCTAAGCAAAATTCCCATATTAATCTGAAAAATAATATTTAGACCTTTGTGGAAAATTCCTTAATAATTTGCATTAAATTCCTTAACACTTGTTTCTCATAAATCCAGTCCATAAGCAAATAATTTAACACGAATTGAGACACACATTAGTACATGTTCCATAGTGTCCCACAGGATCCTCACATGGGTTCTTAATCTTTTTTGTGTCATGGACTCCTTGGGCAGTCTGGTGAAGCCCATGGACCCATTCTCAGAAT